TCATCAATAGACAGAATGATTTAAGAGAAAGGTTTATATGTATAATACAAATTCCTAAATAAAATATAATTCTTCTGTCTGTATGTATTGTCACTGAAAACTGCTGGACTTTTGTGTATGTAATTAAATTTATAAGAGAATGGTTTTGATTCACAATTGGACCGGGAAGGTGGCGTTGTTGTAGAGATCCAGAAATAACCGTGCGAAGCCGGGTCGGATCGCTAGTCAAAATACTAAAAAGAATAAAATTATTTCACATTCTGAAGTCGTCTCTAATATATAGTGTATAGAAGAATGAAAGTTCCGACTTCAGAATTTTTTTTTTTATTGTTTGAAGCGGGTTACTACTTTTTATGAAAAATTCATTTCTTTATAGAACTATTTTTTTTCATTTTTATAATGGTGAAGAAATTTTTTCTCTATATTTATAATGGCCAACCCTGAAGTATATATAAAATATTTAATAAGTAAAAAAAAAATCATCGAAAGCGGTTTACAAATGCCGAAGATATCATATAATATAAATATAAAAACCAAAGCGAATCAAAATCAAGCAACACTTAGAATGAAATATTAAAAAAACAAAACAGGGAAATTATGGATATGCTTATTTCATAAAAATATCGCCCAAGACAAAAATTCGCAAATAGGCGCTCTCAGAATTAATGAAAACGATATAAAAACAACAACGAATTGAAATTTAAATACCTGATGAATATCGAAGGCCGAAACTGTCAGAAAATCAATCAACTTATTCATTATGTAAGCCATTGTTTTTAGATCAGTACAATAGCCGATTTCGATAATAGCGAACTGAACATATGTACATCTACAAAGTTTAAACATTTATAAGCGTCGCCTTCTAAGTAAGTTTCGTGCCACGCCTGAATATAAAATAAACCTTTTTTCAGATCAAAGCATTCAAGAAAATACGAGTCAAATTAAGAGTACCCTTAACCGACAAGCATGTATGCGTGGTGTATCGTGCTAAATGAAATACCATAGTCTCTGCCTATCCCATTGGGTGATAGACGTGAGATATTATGTTATATAATTGCAAAAGTTATGCCAACTAGACGAGTTAGCGCTGAAACCTTCATCTTCAGCAAGCTTTTTTAAGCGTGGTAGAGCCATGCTGCAGCTATATTATGGTTGTAACACGAATGGGTCGGCTCGACCGGGGAAAGACCACGCTCTCACAGAATACTAGCGTAAATTAGCAGCTTAACGCTGTTGTGTTTCGTATGGTGAGTGTAGAGAACGGGAGTCCCTTTTTACTGGAAACGAAGCATTCCATCTTAGTACTCACGGCTGACAACACATCCGCATTTTGATTCGCAAACGAAGATAGATGTAGATGCCTATGGACCACAGCAACCACTTGGACATTGTGCTCGTTTGTCACCCTTATTCTATGTAAAAAAAAATCTAATGATGAATAGTTATAAATATAATTAATAAAAAAAATAATAGAAACTCAATAAAATGACAGAAAAATGATGTGATGAGATGCTAAGTTAGAGTGCCGCTTTGCAGACTATCCCTACATTTTCTAGTTTAAATGAATAAGATAAAAAAAATAGTAGTTGTTATCTTATAATTTTAACAAAAAGTATTTAGAACGGGCTATTTTTAGATTTCTTAAGATTTTTGACATTTTTTTTGTTGGAAAAAACGTTACCCCTACACTAGGATTTTCTCCTGTATCGTGGAGGCAGTTTACAAACACAAATTGCACAAGGACAAACATCCAGACCCGGAACAATTATTTGTAGTCCATACAAATACTAAAATAGCAGCTTAACGCTTTTGTGTTTCGTATGGTGAGTGTAGAGAACGGGAGTCCCTTTTTACTGGAAACGAGGCATTCCATCTTAGTCTTCACGGCTGACAACGCATCCGCATTTTGATTCGCAAACGAGAATAGATAGAAGTATGGACTAGAGCAACCACTTACAATCAGGTGGACTGTGTGCTCGCTTGTCACCCTTATCCTATAAAAAAACTTAAAGCATTATGGATTTTCTATTCGCCGGGTAGTGTAAGATATTTACGTGTAAGATATTACAATTCCGTGGGTGTCGTAAGAGGTAACAGAAGGAAATAAAACTGAAGATGGGCAGTACCATCCTGCTAACAACAACTTAAAATAATAAAAAACTGCGCCTGCCAGACGTGGCTACTATGGCACATATCCCTCCTGTGGGGCAAACTATGGGTAAGGCCTATTTTCAGCTGTGGACTTTAACAAGCTGTAACGGTAACGGTATCCGCTTTGCATTGGAGGTACGAAAATGATAACATATATTTAAAAAAAATAAGGCGTCACGAATATTAATTAAAGCCAAAATTTTAAATGCTAATGTTTTCGTATACTTAACAGGTCTGTGAAATTGCCGTGATGCAGTACTGGCCATTTCAAATCAAAATAATTTTTGTTTGGCTAAAGGTACAATTCCGTAGCCGACTGCAGACAGCAGCAGCAGGCGACGTGTCGTCGCGGCACTACTGGTTTCTATGTAGTTCTATGAAATACCTTACGTAGCTAGCGACACATCGTTTGCCGCTACGGGCCGAGCGGCAGACAACACTGCAGCCCGACCGCAGATCAGTAGTGCTGCAAACGCCCGAGCAATATACGTTGAATTTTTCTCAAAAAATGAGTTTCACCGATTCCGAGGAAGAGAAACTGATAAACCAGGTGGCCCAATATCCCGCACTGTACGATGCATCTCACAATAATTATTTAAACGGTGTGATAAAAGATAATATTTGAAAAAATATAGGAAAGGAGTTAAATAAAAGCGGTAAGTACCTATTTTGTTTACATAAACAGAGAACCCACAGAACATTCGGAACAGAGAACACGGGCTGCTGCCGCCTGCAGTCGGGTTCGGAATCATGACTGCAGCGACATGACATGACGCCGCGACATGTCGCAGCGACACGTCGCCTGCTGCTGCTACCTGCAGTCGGCTACGGATTGTACCTTAAGAATTCTAATTTTAAATTAATTTTATTTCAAAAACATGGAATTCTTTTTTTTCAAAATTAGTCATTTGTTTATTGATGTTATTATGACGCTATTATAACTGGCACTGTAAATAATTAATGAATGATTTTGAATAGATTTTTCCATTAGACGGGCTTCACAGCCTCATTCATCAATCACCAGGGTGTAGGTACTGCGAACTGGGGAGGTTGAAATTTTAATAAAAGGTAGCATACTCACTTAGTCGTTGATATTCGAACGCGGATAAGTTTTAGAGGATTTGTAAACAACCCATGATATTACGACTGCAGGTTTTAATGACACGTTATTAAAAACAACTATCGTAGAGTTACATTACGTAATTAATATATGCGACGTAAAACAACCGCATTCGTGCGCAATCGCTGGAATTATTCGAAGTATTTTACAACTTATTAACACATATCGATCTAATATCACTATTACTAGTACACTCTTAATCAATTTTCGATTTAATAAATTAATTGATTTTTAAGGATTTATTTTACATATTAGGAGATAGATTAATTAAAGGACAATAAGTAAGAGTCTATTTAAAATGATATTTTTTAGTAGAAAAATAACCAAATACTGAAACGCTACAAAATTTTAGGATACCGTTAGCTCTCGTGCTGTCACTATCACCTTAAGTCAAAATAACTGTGACAAAACGAGACGTAGAATAGTTTTCCCGATAATACCCACTAGTACTAAATCAATCCCAAAAAATAAACACAGGCGTCCCCTTTCTTCTTCCCACATAGCAATAAAATCCAGTGCATTATGTTTATTTCAAACTAGCTGTTCCCGCTACTTCGCCCGCGTGTAATAATTTATTACGATTGGATTTCATGGGGTATAATTTTTTGACGCGGAACCCTAATTATTTTTCTAAAAAGAAAGTAGCCTAAGTTACCCCTTATTACATAAGCTATCTGCCTGTGAAAATAGGTGCAGTGATTTCGGAGATTAACCGGAATAAACATACCAGACAGACAGACAAACATTTAAAAAATTGTACTTTTGTTTATAAGTAGGTACTGTATATACTTTTATATGCATTTAGTAAAAAGCTGTAATTTTGATATTACAAAGAGACACTTCAATTTTATTTATTTGTATAGATATGGATGTATAGATACATATGTAACATCCTTTCGATTTGATGAATTCTTTCTCTAGTGCAGCTGTTAGCGCTAAGGGAGGTAGCAGACCATTGGTACCGTTCTACGAGAAACCTAACTCCCTTACAACTTTATGTTGATTAAAACATTCGCCAAATAGAACACAATTCTCACATTTAAGTAACGCGAGTCAATGTTTATAAAATAATAAAACACTTCTTCGACAGTCCGTTCCACTTTTAGTTCTAGTGATCGCATGCATCTGTTATCATGTGGAGATTTCTCATCGGAACGATTTTAAGTGTTCTCTATGTCGAATCTGTTAGCATCATTTTTGATTAATTTTTAGTAAAACATATCAAATAATTGCGTGTTGCCAGTGATAACCTATGGATATGAAACGTGTTCCTTCACTGCTAGCCATATGAGGAAGCTCAAGGTCGCTCAGCAAGCTATGGAGAGGGCTATGCTCAGCGTTTCTCTGCGTGACAGACTTAAAAACGAGGATATCCGCAGTAGAAGCAGAGTAACCGACATAGCCCAAAGGATTAGTAAGCTGAAGTGGCAATGGGCCGGCCATATAGCTCGAAGAACCGACAACCGATGGGGAAGAAAGGTTCTCAAGTGGCCGCCTCGTACCGGCAGGCGAAGTGTAGGGCGTTCCCCCACTATATGGAGTGACGGCCTGGTAAAACATACAGGAATTCAATGGATGCAGGTGGCTCGGGACCGTAATTTGTGGCATTCCTTTGGACTTGTGAAGAGCTGTAATGATGATGATATCAAATAATTAAATCTATATCTTGTTTCAGAGAATTTTGCAACTGGACTACGCAACTGCTCCACCAATAGACGATTCCGATACAATGTTTGAAGCAAAAGCTTATGGTGTACCATACAGCATAAATTTCAAGGCATTTGATGACCGAGATAACGACGACAACCCGTACGATGTGATGAAAAGAACTGGCGATAATGATAAAAAGGTAACATTTGTTTTAATAGTACACATTGTAAAACTTCGGCATATTTTAACATATTAATTTGTGTACTGTTTCACACAGCCTTGCGCTATTGTGGTGCTTTCCAACGTTCAAAATCCAATTATGCATTCGTTACTGCGCAGGTATAGATACGACTCAAACGGTTAGTACATTTTGACTTACAATTTGTACCTAAAACCTGTTCCAATGCAACTTTGATAATGGTGAAGTTAATTTAAACTTACATTCACGTAATGAAATTAAATAATGTGTCTTACCTAATTTGAAGAGCACCTCTCGCTTCGCAGTAGACTGCGGTGGCCACTTCACCTAAGGATGTCTTGTGTAGAGGCGAAACACGTGTCGTATCATCGACGGTGGTGTGACTTTTCTAGTGTAGTGGTGTTGGCAATATTAGTGCTAGGATTAGTGGTGACGGGGACAGTGCACGCAATTGCGGGAGGACGGAAGGTGCTCTTCACACTAGGTAAGACACATAATTTGATTTGATTACGCGGATATAAGCAAATTAATGTTTAACAAATTTAATACAATGGATTTCCGCAAAGTAACGCCTGATTCTATTAATGAAGTTATTTTTATTTAGGCGTACTCATCCCAAACAGTGTTAAGTACTTCGTAAAACTACCGCAAGGCGTGCAATCTTCTACTGTATTGGTGCCTCTTCACGATAAAGCCTTTTCGCCTTTAGGCGGTTTCATTAGGTAAGTTATTTAGAATTTTACTATGTATAATCCTACATGTTACACGTGGTAGAGCCACGCTGCACCTGCAACTCTTAAGCCCGGTTTCCACCGCGAGCGGAACGGACCCATTAATTACTCCTTTTGCCTCGCAATACAAAACTGCATACATGTGTTTCCACCAACAAAAAGTCGAGTGTAAATGACAACGAGGGCTAAAAGAGTAAAAATGAGCTGCGGACTCAGACCGGAGTCATTAATGAGTCCTTTCAACTCGCAATTGAATTTTACAAAGTAGTGTTTGCATCGAAAAAGAGTTGAGCGGAGCGGACCAAACGAGTAACATGTGTCCGCTGCGTCGCGGTCTCGCCGACTAGTTTGAAACGGACTCGCTCGACGCTGCTGTTTCCTGTAGTTAGTATTTTGTTTTAAAATGTCGGCCTTTACAAATGACAAAAGTTCTTGAAATTGTTCTCTGCTAACCCTATAATAGTTCTTAAATTTTTCGTCGCCCAAATCATTGAATAGCCTATACTCCCTTTTCAATGTTCTTTCTCGAATGTGTCGACATAACCAAAATCTCCGTTTTGCACGTTTTTTTTCTGTGCTTACGATATAATAATATATACTTTTTCTTTCAGTATACATAATCAATGTCCTCACTTGATTCCTTATCACTCGATAACATCGCGAATTCACACAACAAAACACTACCGCACGTAACCAGTTCAAAACTCCAACTGAACTCGCTCTTTCTTCTTCTCCAACTGAACTTTATGGCTGTAGCACGAATCGGACGGCCCGACCGGGAAATGACTACCTCGCACAAACAACCAGTATGAACTTTCAGCATAATGCTATGTTTCATATGGTGAGTGACGAGAACCAGAGACCCTTTTTTTCTTTTCTTCTTTTTTTCTCAGGAGTAAACGCATCAGAATTTTGATTCTTAATTGAGGATAGATGTAGAAGTCTGGTCCACAGTGTTATCATCAAGTGGATTGTGTGCCCGTTTGTTACCATCAATTCTATTAATAAATAAAACCTTACAACTTAGAGCAAGTTTAACAAAAGCTATAATCTTAGACATTGTGTAAATGACGCACATCGTAGTGATGCAAGTATAAGAAAGTCATAGTTAAAATAAATGTAGTGTTTATTTAATGCATATTTTAAAACGACGCATATCAGCATTTCAAAATAGGTAAGTTAGGTATAGGATATAGGATAGGAAATAAAAATAAAAGGTATTATTTGAGGAATAAAAGAATATATGTAACTAATTTAATTTAAATTTGACATATGTTATTATATTTTAATCATTAAATGGTTTAAGAGACCAATACTTGCTTGCAGTCATTTTTACGTGGTAGAGCCATGCTGCAGCTATATTAATAGTATAGTTGTAACACAAATGGGTCGGCTCGACCCCGGAAGTACCACGCTCTCACAGAATACCAGCGTAAAATAGCAGCTTAATGCTGCAGTGTTTCGTATGGTGAGTGTAGAGAACCGGAGACCCTTTTTACTGGAAAAGAGGCATTCTATCTTAGTCCTCACGGCTAACAACGCATCTGCATTTTAATTCGCAAACGAAGATAGATGTAGATGCCTATGGACCACAGCAACCACTTACTATCAGGTGGACATTGAGCTCGTTTGTCACCCTTATTCTATAAAAAAAATCTAATGATGAATAATTATAAATATAATTAATAAAAAAATTAATAGAAACTCAATAAAATGACAGAAAAATGAAGTGATGAGATGCTAACTTAGGTTGTCGCTTTGCAGACTATCCCTTACATTTTCTAGTTTAAATGAATAAGATGAAAAAATAGTAATTGTTATCTTATAATTTTAACAAAAAGTATTTAGAACGGGCTATTTTTAGATTTCTCAAGATTTTTGACATTATTTTTTTTTGTTTTGTTGGAAAAAACGTTACCTCCCCACTAGGATTTTCTTCTGTATCGTGGAGGCAATTTACGAACACAAATTGCACAAGGACAAACATCCAAACCCGGAACAATTATTTGTAGGCCATACAAATACTTGTCCCGTGCGGGATTCGAACCCGCGCCCCCCAGCGCAGCAACTCATTGCTAAGCTACTGCGCCACGGAGCCGTCAAATTAAAAATAATAAATTGTCAAGTGTCAAGTTATAAATTATGATAGGGGAAACAACAATACAAAAGTTTTCTTTTATAGAATTATGGTGACAAGCGAGTCATACAGTCCACGTAGTGGTGTGTACAAATGCTGTGGAATAAGGCACCTGGTACTACTGCCATACATCCGCCTGCTAAGTGTGACACTAACTTGTTGAATACTTTTCCAACTTCTTCGGCATATTATATTAGATATTTCAAAGGAATATAAAAACAATTAAGGCAAAGCCTGTATACGTCCTACTGCTGGGTACAAGCCCCCTTTAATTTCTCGAGGATCATTGAGCAATTAGAGCAAACTGCAAAAAATATAGATTCTAAATATTTAAGGACAAACATAACCGGTTAGCTTGGAAACAATAAAATCGACTGTTTATTGATGTTATATTTTTATTATTCATGTCGTTTTTGAAGCTGTAATGATAAATTGAAGTTTTCGCTTCCTATTATTTGTCGCTATTGCAATTAAATCAACTTGAGATGTCTTTCGTAATTCAGAACGTGCAATAAATTCCTATTGCGTAAAAGCATCGCATGCTTGGCATTTATTTACATCATTACTTTTTAGTATTATAATAATCTTAATACTGTTAAAGTAGCCGTAAATCTAGCGCTGAACAAAACAAGGAGGGGACGCGCAAGAATTGAATTGCACGAATGCGATTGGAGAGCCAATCAGCGTGTGCGAACAATACGCACAAGCCAATCAACACGACTTATTGCGCAATAACGGTCACTGCTAGACTTTCGTGCCACTACTTATAAAATAATCTTAATCCTAAAAGTCGCTATTTCATCCCGTGTGTGTGTCGTAAGAGGCGACTATGGAAAATGCAAAAAGCTGATAGATATAGGCGTCCATAATAGAATATAGCCGACACGGAACTAAGCTTTACGATTAAAGCAAATTCTTGCAATAGGAGAACAATGGGCCTTTACAGGCTGATGAAGCAGAAAATTTTGCTACATTTACATTAGTCACGTCTAATAATTTAAAAAAAAAGTACTAAATTTAAAAAAAAGTACTGTTTGTTTACGTACGTAAAACTGCCGATTTCAACAGTAGTAATTTTATTAAAATACTAGATGTTCCCCGCGACTTCACCCGCGTGTATTTTATGGTTTCCGTTTTATTTTATAGGATAAGTGTGACAAACGAGCACACAGTCCACCTGATGGTAAGTGGTTGCTGCGGCCCATAGACATTTACATCTATCCTCACCTGCGAATCAAAATGCAGATGCGTTGTCACCCTTGAGGACTCATTTCCAGTAAAAAGGGCCTTCGGCCACCTGCACTCACCAAGCGAAACGCAGAGGTAAACCTCTACTTCACGATGGTATTCTGTAAGGTTGTGGTACCACCCCGGTTCGAGCCGGCCCATCCGTGCGACAGCAAAAGCTGCCGCGTGGCTCTACCACTGTTAGTTATGTTCCGCGGAACCCTAATCTTTTTCTAAAAAATAAGTAGCCTGAGTTACTTCTTATAACATCAGCTATCTGCCAGTGTAAGTCCCGTCGAAATCGATCCAGCCGTTTTGGAGATTACCCGGAACAAACAGGCAAACAGACAGACAAAAATTTTAAAATTGTGTTTCTGTTATACCGTGTATATGTATATGTTATATGTAGTACCGTATATATTTTCATAAATATGCATTTATTAAAAAGCTGTTATTTTGACATTACAAACAGACACTTCAATTTTATTTATTTGTATAGAATAGATAAAAAAGCAGGAAGGAGAACAGCAGTGATTTCTTAGGAAGATGGAACAACTCTCCAGTCATGCTAAACTGCTGAACTCTCAGAGTGATGGAGATGTTTTGGTAGCATACTATTTTTTACCATATAGGTACTAACGGACGATTATAAAAACTTTTCATTAGATTTTTTTTGTTTAAAGATACGTATTGCAAAACAAAACTTAATTTGAGCATCATACACATTCATTAGTATTTCCTTTCACTGTTAATGTGCTTCCCTTTATGTACGTACGGTTTAAAATAGACATGGAACGAGTAGTGATTCGCCGAGTACTCGGCCACCGGGTACTCGGCCTAGATTGGGCCTAGTACTCGGCAGAATACTCAGCTTTAAAAAAAACGCGGTAGCGGACGGCGTGTGGTTATTTCCCTTACACAGAGTTAGAGATGGAAGGGTACGAGTAAGTACAAGTAGTTACTCGATACTTTTCTTTCTATAGCAAGTACTTTGGGTATCGATACTTTAAAACTTAGTACCAAGTAGTATCGAAAGAAAAGTACTTGTATCGGTACTCGATCAGTCACACACCCACGGATAATGTTGATGAGTGATTACTAATTACTTGTCAAATGAGACAACATGATTTCATGTTTGAGAGGTAGTTTTCATTATCTGGTGCGAAAATGACTGCTTATAAAAATCGTTTTATCGGAAAACATCTAGAAAAATTATTGATCTTCCTCTCTTAAATTTTAAATATTAGTAATAATTATTTCTATTATAGATTCATATGTACGTTCTAAATATTTCTGCTGCTTCTCATGTTCCTGATGTTTTAATGTGTCTAATATAATAATAATAATGATAAAACTGGCTTTTTGTGTTTATTTTTCTCTGGGATATAATTAAGGCCGAGTACTCGGTACTCGGCCGTTAATACTCGGTGCTCGGCCGAATGCTAAAAAAAAGGCCGAATCCGCCGAGTACCGAATCCAAACCGAGTACTCGTCCCATGTCTAGTTTAAAAATAATAAACGTAACGTAAGCGGGTAGCGTGACCTTGACAAGTTGACAATAAAGCACAACCAATCCGCAATGAATGTACAAAATGGTAACATATATTACACCGTAGAGTATATGTAATAAGCAAGCTATGCATATGTATACCTACTCGAAGTATTTAATAAATTATGGCGTCACGTTTATTAATTAAAGTCACCACTTTTAAATGCTAATGTTTCCTTATACATATACTAAGCTATATTATATTAAAATGGTAACTTTTTTCAACAGGTACTATAAAGAAGTACCACCGATACCTCAGTCTTGGTAGACAAAGGCGCTGTACAAAACGAGATACCTATTTGAATATATACTACGTGTAGGTATCATTCCCTTTTTATTTATAAAAAAATATTCAAATTATCTTATCCATAAATTCATTTTATTTTAATGATTACTATATACAATACAAAATAAATATAAGTGATTCATGTTGTAATCGTTTTATTTGTACTTTTAAAATTTTAAATTACATGTATATTTACATGCATCTCAAAGAATGTTAAAATAACGATAGCGCACGAGTTACGAGTATGTGTTTACTTGATATGTTAGCATCAAATATTGGAATTCTAAACATTTGCCAGATGGCCCAGCCAAGAAATCCTTTGCGATAGACGCGCAGCCAGTCAGTCTGAAGCATCTAATCGAATTTATACCAAGTTTAATGCCAGGTACGAAAATATCAATAGGAGTCGAAGTCAAATGTGCGCCAGCAGGTGTTCAGTCTCATGGATTAATGTCGTCATTGCATCGCGCAAATATAAAGTTTGTATGGGAACCTGACAGCGGGGATATTACGAAATCAAAGACTTTAACAATAATTAACTTATTTCATTTCAAAAGAAAACGTTTTTGTTTAGAAAGAAAATTGTATACTACACGCTCGTTACGCCTATTATAATAAAAAAATCATTTATTTCCAATCACAATGGTACATTAAATTAAAAAAAAAAACATGCTTAGTTTATTTCTTAGTCTTATTTCTATTACAATTATTTCAACATTTACCCATTGTAAGAAAACGGAACCTGTACCTACTAGGATACCGTGTTACAGTGTTGCGACCTCCACACTTGGATTCGATTGCTAGTACCTATGGCTAGTACCATAATTGTTAGTATGTGTGTGTGTGTGTGTGTGTGTGTGTGTGTGTGTGTGTGTGTGTGTGTGTGTCAGATTATGAGAGAGACCTAGTTTCAAGATAAACTAAAAAAAGGTTTATTTTTAAAGGCGGCCAACAAGCACACAATGTATTTAATGGTAATAAGTTACTATATAATATTTGTCAACCTTAAAATATCGATTAAAATCGAAGTGCAAGTGCGTTGTTACCCCTGAGGCCATGTTAACCCAATGCCACATAACAATATCTTTGGTTCTCTACAATCACAAAATTAAACTAAGCGGCATGATGCTGCTATATTACGCTTTTTTAATAGGATAGGGTGACAAACGAGCACACAGTCTACCTGATGGTAAGTCGTTGCTGTGACCCATAGACATCTACATTCTACATCTATCCTCAATAAAGAATCAAAATGCGGATGCGTTGTCACCCGTGAGGACTAAGATGGAATGCCTCTTTTCCAGTAAAAAGGGTCTCCGGTTCTCTACACTCACTATACGAAACACAGTAGTGTTAAGTTGCTATTTTACGCTGGTATTCTGTGATAGCGTGGTCCTTTCCTGGTCAAGCCGACCCATTCGTGCTACAACTATACTACTAATATAGCTGCAGCATGGCTCTACTACGTAAAGTGTAGTACTTCAGGGCCGATAAACCACAGGGTGATCGAGCAGCCGTTCTAGGCGCCTAGTCCCCGGAAACGGTTCAGGGGTAAAAAATAAATAAAAGAAAAAACACTGCTGGGTACAGGCCTCCCCTCATTTCTGAGGGGGTTTCAGGGCAAGGAAATATCCGCCGCGCTACCCCAATGCATGTTGGCGAACTTCACATGTCTGTGAAATTTTATTCTTATTTCTCAGATATGCAGGTTTCCTCACGATATTTTCCTTTATCGCCGAGCAAGTGGTAAATCAGCGCTTAAAATTGCAACTAACAATTTAATTGGCACCGACGGGGATCGAACCCGGGTTGCCCGTGTACTGAGCTATATGGCCGGTCCATTGCCACTTCAGCTTACTAATTTGTTTACAAGTTAAGCTATGCCGGTCACTCTGGTTCTACTGCGGGTATCCTCATTTCTAAGTTTATCACGCAGAGAAACCCCGACCATAGCTTTCTCCATAGCTCGCTGAGCGACTGTGAGCTTCCTGATACGGCCAGCAGCGAAGGACCGCGTCTCAAATCCATAAGTCATCACTGGTAACACGCACTGGTTGTACAATCTCGTTTTCAAGTTTTGAGGTATACCTGACGACAAGATGTATCGTGATTTCCCGAACTCTACCCAGCCGAATTCAATCCGCCGATTGACCTCTCGGTAGAAGTTGGATTTACCTAGTCGGACTATTTATCCCAGGTAAACATACTCGTCAACAACTTCGAGCTTAGTGCTCCTGCTCCCGACTACTACCGGCATTAATGTGACATGGACGTTAAATATGATATTTGTTTTGTCCATGTTCATCTAAAATCTATCCGTTGGGAGCCACTATTGAGGTCATTGAGCAAAGTGCTTAGGTCCTCCAGCGATTCTGCCATAAGAACTACTCGAATATAGTCGGCAAATCGAAGGCGAGAGATGTACTCGCCATCGATATTAATAGTGTATCCTTTCCAGTCCAGTGGCTTAAAAACTTCTTCCAATGCAGCGGTGAAGAGTTTTGGGATGTAACTTCACCATGTCTTTGCATAGGCACTTTGCATAGGTTTCGTGCTCTGGTTCTGTACTGTAAGAAATTATATAACATCACAGAAATAAATTTCGGGCATTGTTCTGTATATATTTGTTACTTTTAACTTTTTTCTCGTTTAGGTTTGCGTCAGTTATAAGAGTACACTGCCGTGCCGCTCATATTCTTACGTATTAGCTAACCGCAAGTCTCAAACAGTAAGAGACATCTTTATAACATAAGACTAAATGTCAAGAGGCAGAGGCGATAACTCATGATAAGTGTATAGATAATAACGAGCAAATATCAACATTGTTACGTTTATCTAATCATTTTTATAGTACCTACTAGTAATATCCACGTGATTTATCTCTAAGCCGATGTTGACCTTAACAACTCCCGTATGCAACATTATTTTATACAAGTTGCAATTACTGTTAACTATTATTACCGTTACAGCATATTAAAGACACCATATATTGCTACATGGGAGGGGGGGGGGGGGGGGTATTTGCCATAGGTGCCACGCTCGGTAAGCGGGTTGGCCACCGCGGCTATTATTAAGTAGATAATAAAAACACAATCAGTTTCATGCGAGATTCCGATCGGTGTTATTACCATAAAATGCGGAGATTAAGACAAATCAAACCACTGCACCACATCAAGCCGTTAAGTATACAGATCACAAATGATCAAACATACATACATATATATCACACTCACATATACATATACACACAATAATAACATAACTCATCTTCGGGAGTAGTCGGAAAAAAACAGACGACAAGACTGAAAGTCTATTGGTCATATTAAAGCAACAAATTGTACCCCCAGGCCAATAAAAAATCGTGATCTAACATTATACCTAAAAAGAAAACAAATTTACTTATTTAAACCTATTTTGTATTATGTAGTTTATATTTTACGCGGTAAAGCAATGCCGCAGCTATATTAGTAGTGTTGTAGCCTGAATTGGTCGGCTCGACTGGGGAAGGACCACGCTCTCACAGAATACCAGCGTAAAAAATGGCAGCTTGACACTGCTGTGTTTCGTATGGTGAGTGTAGAGCACCGGAAACTGAAAAACACTTTACTGGAAACCAGGCATTCCATCTTAGTTCTCACGGGTGACGACGCATCTGCATTCTTTATTGAGGATAAATGTAGATGTATATGAGTCACAGTAACCACTTACCATCAGGTGGACTGTGTGCTCGTTTGTCAGATTATCCTATAAAAAAAATGTAGCTAAAACCCGAACTTAAGCAAAACAAAAATGTTTAAAAGCCAACGATGACTACGGAGGCTACGGAGACGGACACGACGGACACTAAACATAAAGCTAATAAAAAAAATCACAAACAATATTGTCTTATAAATAATATGATAAGCGTGCCAAACAAATAGTTTACTGGACCTGTGAAAAATAGTACGCCCAAAATAACACGGTAAAAACCAAACCAATGCACAATCATTTAAACGAAAGTTAAAACAATGAAGCGGACCTGAAAATTTCACCATCGACGTGTTCGAAACAAATGTAAACAAAAGCCACATTAAAAAAAAAAAGATAAAAATTTAACGATCGTTTGAAATCAATTTGAATGCAAATCTTTGCTAGTAATGTCGGATAATCCTATAAACCCGCTGAACACTAAACAGGTTGCAGTTGTTACGTGACAACAAAAGCTAGATTGTTTTTTAATTTACTCATGGATACATTTTAAATACTTACACAACTACACATAAACTAATATATTAGCTATAGCAATATAGTATATAAAAACTTAAAATATAAAAATTTAAACGCAGTAGATAATCACTTGACTGAGGACCGCGGATTTGAATTCTGCATTCAAGTGTTTGTATGGCCTACAAAAATCCTCCCAGTCAGGAATCAGGATGTGTGTCCATGTGTGATGTATTTATGTAAAACGCCTTCACGATACAGAAAAAAAATCCTATTAGTACCTATTAAAGAACAATATTCGTTGAAAATATTTCGTGATGTCATCTAGGCCAATAGCCAATTAAACCAATAGTCTCGGGCTAATGTGCTTTAGGACAATAGCTCCATATCTAATTTTATTAACGGTGAAACTTCAGAAAAATGAGAGAATCTTTCGACTTAGGAAATATTATTGCGGTTCAAGTGTTAGATGTACGCACTCACGCTTGGACGACAAAATACAAAATTCTATTTCAATAAAACGTATACAAAGGATGGCTCCGAGTCCGACATCGAGTTTAAGTCGGAGCTTCCGATTAAACTATGGCACGCGAGTAACACCACGTAGAAAACAGCCAGTGTTAATTAGACCACGTGGTCGGCACATATCCTTAAATGAAGCGAGATCTATTCTCTTAAATGCTACCTTTCAAACCAATGCAATGAGCCTTTAGAATTTATTAACTGACGGGTCTATACGCGACACTCATCATTTGGTTGTGCATCCAGGATTTATTTTA